AAAAAAGTAGTGTTGGTTCCGTTGTTCTCACCAAAAGACCAACAATGACCTCTTGGATGGGAAGAAATCCTAGCAAGTAGCAACCCTCTTACCCTATATAAGGCCCAAAGCAGAGCTTCTCTTCCTCACCAAAATTTCTTTCTTCGCTAAGGAGCGACCTAGTCTCATAGCTTCCTGAGATATCCAAAGATGGAGCGGAAAAATGGAGTCCAAACAACAAATGTTCACGACAAAGAGAAATGGGTTTATGATTCCTCTGTGGATCATAAAGGAAGGGTTCCTCTTCGTTCTTCCACTGGTGTTTGGAAAGCTTCCCTCTTTATCATAGGTACGTAAGTAACAAGAATTTTATTTTATCAGCCATTTGCTTGCCAAAGAAAACAAATCCGGGGGAAAAAATCCATCCTCAAAAGTTGGATTTACTTTTCCCTAGCCTTCTCCTTCATGATCCTCTTTCAAAAACTAAATTCATTCTGTTGTTAGTGAGAAAGCTCTACATCAATAACGTATACTTTCGAATTTATTTACTAGTTTTCAATTAATTTTCAGTTGGAACATGCTCTCTAACATCCTCATCCCTTTAGACTCTTATCCTCTGGTTTTTTAAGAACATGTTTCTGTTCATTAGGTTTTAAGAGATCAAAAAGCATGAGCCCCCTTTTCTTTTTCCATGTTGAGGTGATCTTACTGTATCTAAGATCAGTTAAGGTTGGGACGTAAGAATCGAAATGCATGTGTCACCATGGCTATGAAATGCCATCTCCCATGTAAATTATTGCGAGATTTCGAATAAATAAAAATATAATTTATGTTCAAAAAATTAATTAAAAATGCATTTTTTTATTAATTAATAGGGAGGTAAGGTGGTTTGTCCCCATGAGCACAGTGTTTTTTGTCTACGTCAGAGCATGGGATAGGACTACTCCTGATGCTTCAAATTTGACTGGGCAAATAATACAAAATACTGTGCTCGTGGGGACAAACTACTTTTGCTTTTGGCCTTTTATTTTTTTCGATGCTTTTTAAAGTATAAAAGCAAAGAAAATTAATCATCCATATAGAATATGAGTTCATTTACAGGATTCCCATTAAGGGGTCCTAGGCATACAAACTTCTAGATTTTTAGAAGTGCTACTTGATTAAATTTTTTAAGAGTATGTTAAATCATAAATTTTATATTAATTAATTATAAAAATTCTTAGTAACAAAACTCTACTCCAATAATTAGATCTTTATAATTTCAACTTTCAGAATAACTAGAAAAATATATTTTTTTTAAAAATATATTTGATCTAACTTTTATGATAGAATAAAATTTTTTAGGTGTTGGACTAAACTAGTTGCAAATTGATCATACAATATGAACCATACTTGGTGTAGGTTATTGGGTAGTGCAAATGTGGGGAGGGGCGGGGCCACTGCCCAACTTAGGTTATATTACCATTTTTTATTACCAATTTTCCTGTTTACATAGGGGAATCCTGGAAATGTACTGCTGCACTAGTTTTAAGACATCTTTAGGTTAGATTAAACTTATCTTCTCTGAATGGCAGAGCTTGTGGTTCAAATTAGGACCCTACAACTTTTTAAGGGTCAATGAGGAGCCTTTGATTCCTACAAGAATTAATGCCAATTAGGTCCACAAAAACAGCTCAAACCACTATCAATTCCATAAAGATTCAATGAAAGCAACACCAAACGAATAATTTCTTGCATGAATAAATTTGCATCCTAACTTTAAGAAACCCAGAAAAAAAGGAATTTTAAGTGGAGGCCAGTTGTCAAATTTTTTTTATTTGAACAGTTAATATTCTCGGTTTACTTTTGCGTAACTCAAATAATTACTCATGATTCATGAATGACCTTAGAGGTATCCAACCCTTAAAGTTAACCAATTGTAGGTTTTTGTTCCCAATTTTTTCTTTAATGGTACCTAAGTATATAACAAAATAATTAATGATTTTGAGTTTTTGATTCTTGGGCAGCAATTGAGTTTAGTGAAAGGTTAAGTTACTTTGGAATAGCAACAAGTCTAATCCTGTACTTAACCAAGGTGATCCACCAAGACCTCAAAACGGCAGCCAGGAGTGTCAATTACTGGGCCGGATTCACCACGCTGATGGCATTCTTTGGTGGGTTTCTGGCCGATGCCTACTTGGGCAGATTCAACGCTGTCCTGCTCTCCTCCCTCGTCTACCTTTCGGTAAACCCACTTTTCTTTACTACATGATTGGGCATCAGGGCCATGTAAAAAGCCCAGTAAATTACCCTGTAACATTTTTTGTTTTCTTGGACAACAGGCCCTGGTTCTATTAACACTGTCCTGGTTTGCACCAAGTTTAAGGGCCTGTGATGCAGATGTGTGTTCTGAGCCCAGGAAGGTCCACGAGATCATCTTCTTCCTCGCTATATACTTGATCGCCATTGGAACCGGAGGGCATAAACCGTCGTTGGAGAGCTTCGGCGCCGATCAGTTCGACGATGACCACTCCGAAGAGAGGAAGAAGAAGATGTCTTACTTCAACTGGTGGAACTTCGGCCTCTGTTGCGGACTCCTGTTGGGTGTGACAGTAATTGTTTACGTGCAAGACCATGTCAATTGGGGAGTTGCAGATATCATTTTGACTATGGTCATGGCATTTTCCCTCTTAATCTTCATCATCGGAAGGCCAGTTTACCGCTACAGGAAGCCGACGGGAAGCCCCATAACGCCAATGCTTCAGGTTCTTGTAGCTGCTATTGCAAAAAGAAATTTGCCTTATCCTTCCAGTTCTTCGGAGTTATATGAAGTTCCCAAGTCGAAGAAGAATCAGGGTCGGGGACGGCTTTTGTGCCATACCGAGAAGCTTAAGTAAGTGATGAAACAAGATAGTTTTGTAATTGTTTGATGTTTTGCCTCTGTGAAACTGTAGGTTTCTAATTGATGCTATTTTTTTGCAGGTTCCTTGACAAAGCTGCTATCCTTGAGAACGAGGGAGATTCAATTGAAAACCAGAGTCCCTGGAGACTTGCAACTGTGACCAAGGTGGAGGAGATGAAGCTTGTTCTCAACGTGATCCCCATTTGGGTATCTACTTTGCCATTTGGAATTTGTGTGGCACAAGCCTCAACATTCTTCATCAAGCAAGGGACGACATTGGACCGAAGAATGGGTAATTTCCTCATCCCTCCGGCCTCAATCTTTTCCCTAGCCGCCATTGGAATGATCATGTCCGTTACCATTTACGAGAAGATCCTCGTACCTGTATTAAGAAGGGCAACAGGAAACGAAAGGGGCATCAAAATTCTCCAGAGAATCGGTATTGGAATGCTTTTCTCCATAGCCACAATGATTGTTGCAGCCCTTGTTGAGAAAAAGAGACTTAAAGTTGTAGAAAAGGAGGGCTCATCACTCTCCATGAGTGTGTTTTGGTTGGCTCCACAATTCATCATAATTGGTATAGGAGATGGGTTCACTCTGGTTGGCTTACAAGAGTACTTCTACGACCAAGTTCCCGATTCCATGAGAAGTATAGGCATTGCCTTCTACCTCAGCGTGATCGGAGCTGCAAATTTCCTTAGCAGTGTGTTGATAACAGTTGTTGATCACTTCACGGAGAAAGGAGGAAAGAGCTGGATTGGAAAAGATTTGAACAGCAGCCGCTTGGATAATTTCTACTGGTTATTGGCAGCCATCACAGCAGCCAACATGTGCGTCTATGTCACCTTGGCAAAGCGCTACCCTTACAAAAACGTGCAGACGAGTATGGCTGTGGCCGATTGCGACGGAGGCAGTGATGCAGTGTCAATGGCTTGATAATATAATTAATCAGTCCTATCAATAAGAGTAGTTACTATTAATTTGGCATATTTAGAGTAATTTAGTATTCAATTAAGGAAATATATGACTCAGGCTGTGCTAGCAGTTGCTGCTTGCTCTTTCTTTTGGGTTTTGAGGGCAGTATTCTTGATGGATACATGCTGGGAAGTGGAGAGTCCTCCTAGTCCTATGAGCGATATCTTTGTTAAGAAAAAGACATTGTATTTGCGTCTTTGTATCCATCCTGTAAATGTTAAATACAAGTATGTACTTCTAAGCAGGCTTGTTTACTGAACCCTTCTGATCCATTTACTGGCCCGAGAATATATTCGATACTGTTTGATTATGTTCCATCTAAACTAACTTAGGCTCATGTGAAACCCATTTATATCACCTGTGACCTTATCTTTTTTAGAGGATGATTGTAGCCAGGGACGAGCCAGAGATTTAACTTTGGGGGACAAAATTTTAAAATTTTTTTGTGAGCTATTTAGGTTTCATTTGACACTATTTTGTATAAATTTTTCTCACAATAACTTTTATAAAAAGGTAATTTGTTATAATTACTTAATATTTTATATAGGGTCAAAAAATTCATATTTTATATAACTTTTACTATTTTTTATTAATATTTTATATATTTTTAAGATATTAAAACACAAAAAAATTATACCTATAACTATAATACAACACTGAAAAATGAAGCCTTAACAATATATATTAGTATAATTTATATTGATTTTTAAATCAATTATTATTTTTATGCAAGTACCACTTTTATCATCCACAACAAATTTTATATTAACTATATATATTTAA